AATATTAATATCTGTTAAACTAATGTAATGTCACATTTTAGACAAAGTTATAATCACATTTTTCATTCACATTTTTCATTTCTTCTTGGAAGAGCAAAATTCTTTTTCTATGTTTGTGCATCAAAAACAAGAAGATTTGTAAATGTGGGTTTACAGATCATCTAATCCAATCCCTCTGTTTTATAAAAAGGAAGTGAAGGAAGGTGAAGGTGAAGAGAGGCTAAGTGACCTGCTTGAATTCACATGGCTCACCCACGGTAAACTACAGCCCTGGTCTGCAGACTCTCTGTCCTCTGTGTCACTACTGGCTTTTCAGGTTAAGGAGTTCCAGTTAATAATAATCTTGCAAACCCTGTCTCTATCTTAATATAACTGATTATCATTCAATATCACCACAATGTCAGTAACTGCAGAGTTAGGGAAAGGACAAAGCATCTGAAAAAGCTCCTTAGGTGACTGTGACAACCACCCCACCCTCACCCCCATGTGTGCCATGTCCAAGGAAAAGAAAGGATACTTGTCACTTACTGACAATATAGAGAGCTGTGGATAATTAACTTCTACCTCCTAAAACTAATCCAGCGGTTTTTTTCCTTTCTTTTTTTAGAGACAGAGTCTATCTCGCCCAGGATGACCTCCAACTCCTGGCCTCAAACAATTCTTCCACCTCAGCCTCCCCAGTGGCTGGGACTACAGGCACACGCCACCACACCTAGCTAAGTGGTTTTACTGTCTAATGTTACTGCTAGGTTCTCTGGTCCCTAAGTCTTAGCTGTAGATTACTCTTCTTGTTACAAAATAAAAATAAAAGCTTTTAGCTTCATGCTATGGTTTTAAATTGGTTTAAACTATGGTTACAAAACCCTCACCAGAGTTGATGCCTAATTATTGCTTAAGAGAGGCTTAAAATAATAATAAAAAATATAACCTATTGTCTCTACTTAAAAATTTAAGACCATACAGATGTAAGAATTACTAACATTATCACTTAACTAATCAATAAACAGCAACATATTAAGGAATTTAAATAGCGGACCAATTCATTTGATAATGCAGCATAAATTTACTAAGAATTCGTTTCCTTGCCAATATGAAACAAAAATTTTTAAACATTTTATGTTCCATAAAGCACTTTACAAATAAATGTTGTTGTTACTATGCTTATCTGATAAAAAAGATGAGACTGTTAAAGGTCACCGTTTAATGATCCACGCTGAAGACCAGGAAATGTTTCATGCATTCAATTTATTTGATATATATAAATCTAAATATAAATTTACTAAATTCCCGCTATATACCCAGCATTGCACAGGGCTGGGAAATACAACGGAAACAAGGCATTGGTCCTCTCCTGAAGCATTTTATGGTTCAGTGGGAGACACACTTTCTTAAGTGTATGCAGTTGGCCGGGCACAGTGGCTCACGCCTGTAATTCTAGCACTTTGGGAGGCCAAGGCAGGCGGATCACCTGAGGTCAGGAGTTCAAGATCAGCCTGACCAACATGGAGAAATCCCGTCTCTACTAAACATACAAAAAAAATTAGCCGGGTGTGGTGGCACATGTCTGTAATCAATCCCAGCTACTCGGGAGGCTGCAGCAGAAGAATCGCTTGAACCCGGGAGGCGGAGCTTGTGGTGAGCCGAGATTGCACGCCATTGCCCTCCAGCCTGGGCAGCAACAGCGAAACTCCGTCGCAAACAAAACAAAACAAAACAAAACGAAAGAAAGAAAGAAAGAAGGCATGCAATTAAAATAAAGCTGACTGAGTTTTTCCCTAGGAATTAGTATAAAATGCTACCTATGAGGCACATTGGAAGGACAACTAACATAGTCCGGGAAACTATCCAAGAAGAAAAAATAAGCCCAGGCTTTAACAAATATGTATTAGCTAGGCAAAATAGGAAACGTGTTATGGGCAAAAGGAACAGTACTGCAAATACCTAGAAGCTAAAGAGAAGATGAAGCTTTCAAAGCCTTAAATATGGATCGATACCAGCAAAGTAAAGCCTAGGAGGCGAAAGGGATGAACCAGAGAGATGTGTGATCAAACCTACTATGTTAAATGAATAAATAAACAGCCTATTAGGCAATGGGGGATCAGTTAAATAATAATGTCCGTACAATGGAATATTAAGCAATCATTAAAAATGACGTTGAAATATATTTGATAATACAGAAAATGTTCATTAAAACAAGTCTTTACTGATAATCTGTTACTGCACTAAGCTAGGTAGGTGAAAAATTAGGTTACAAACCACCGTGTCCACATGTGATATAATTCTTAGGAAAATCACATACATGTCCATAAGAAAAAAAGATTAGAAGAATATAAAATGCTAACAACAGCTATTATTGTTGGGGAATGGGGTTGCAAGAGATTTTTCTTTTTCTTTTGCTTATCTTTATTTTCTAATCTTTCCCTCCTATGATAAAAGCTAGTATGGTTGACCCTGGAACAGCACAGGTTTGAACTGCATGGGCCCACTTATACACGTATTTGGTTTTCAACAAAAATTACTCTGAGTATGTTGCCTGTCTCTCCTGCCTCCTCTTCCACCTACTCCACCTCTTCAGTCACTGACACCCCCGAGCAAGACGACCAATCCCTCCTCTTCCTCAGACTATTCAATGTGAAGATGAGGATGAAGACCTCATCTTGATCTGGTCTTGATCTGGAGATGATGATCAATCTCCACTTAATGAATAGTAAATATATTTTCCTTATGAGGTTCTTAATAACATTTTCTTTGCTCTAGCTTACTTTAAAAATACAGGTCTGGGTGTGGTGGCTCATGCCTGCAATCCCAGCACTTTGGGAGGTTGATGTGGGATACCTGCTTGAACCCAGGAGTTCAAGACCAGCCTGGGCAAAAGAGTGAGATCCCGTCTCTACCAACACAAAACAAAACAAAAATGTGCTGGGCATGGTGGTGGGTGCCTATAGTCCCAGCTACTTGGGAGGCTGAGGTGGGAGGATCACCTGAGCCTGGGAAGTCGAGCCTGCAGTGAGCTATGATTGTGCCACTATACTCCAGGCAGGGCAACAGAGCCAGACCCTGTCAATAATAATAATAATACAGGATATAATACATATAAAATATGTGTTAACTGTTTATGTTACCGGTACGGCTTCCAATCAAAACTTAAGTTTGAGAGAGTCAAATGTGTTATACTCAGATTTTTGACTGCACAGGAGGGTCTGTGACCCTAACCCCCATGTTGTTCAGGGTCAACTGTATAAACAAACCAAAGGAGTTCACAGAACTTTTCATAGGACCAAGTGCTATTAAAAGAAAACTATACGTGTGGCTCATCTAGCAGAAGTTCTGGCAAATGGCAGACATCTAAAGTTGTATCTGTGTTTTTTAGACAATTATCCAACTAAACTTTATTGAGGACCTATTTTGTATCAGGCACCAAAATACAGATACAAAAATAAATGAGGCATAGTCCTTGCCCTCAAAGGGCTCACAGCCAAGTGGAATAGACAAATACAAATACGTACCACGTGTGACGTGGTGAGGTAACTGTTAACGGAGATGGAATAGACAAATACATATACGTACCACGTGTGACGTGGTGAGGTAACTGTTAACGGAGATGGAATAGACAAATACATATACGTACCACGTGTGACGTGGTGAGGTAACTGTTAACGGAGATGGAATAGACAAATACAAATACGTACCACGTGTGACGTGGTGAGGTAACTGTTAACGGAGATGGAACAGACAAATACAAATACGTACCATGTGTGACGTGGTGAGGTAACTGTTAACGGAGATACCACAAAGTACTACGGAAGTACTGAGGACAGAGACCTCCAGCATTTCAGAAGCTGCTATTTAACACACAGGCGTCTAGGTGTATTTAGAAAGTCACATTTATCCCACATCACCTTGACCTATTTGCCACAAGAAAAAAGGGAGGAGGGGGGATTGGAAGAGACACTACACTAATTATACAAGCTAGATGTACAATGCAGTATTGATGTACTAAACCTGCTCTACAAGGAGCCTGTTGTAGGAATTACACAATGACCAGACCAAGAGACACATTATCGGATGGTCTGCTCCTGTTCTCTAGCACTCTAGGTTGTCAAGGGCAGATCTGCAATCACGTCTGACTGTATATGAATGGAGTTTTTAAGTAAAGTGAAATAGCTAGAAAAGAGGAAGCCATATACATTACCCATCTTTTAGTGAAAGAAAACAAAAATGAAGGGCAAAATAAAAGCCAAGAGAGAAAACTAGAGTCTGCTCGTTTCATTTGTCAAATAAATCGAAACAATTAACTTCCCCCTCTACTTTCTTCTTAACAACTCTTCACCAACTCTTGAAACGCTTGCTTTAATTTCCTACCCTTATTTTGCCTGTCATTTCATAGACATTTAATTTTCTTTTTCACCATTCTAGTTCCAATTTTCTTTTAAATATAGTAGGAACAATCAAATATAAAATATCAATCTGGTCACTTTAGGTATTTAAACCTCTATTATAGAGAAAATCAGGAAAAAAATATTTTTTCCCACAAAGTTGAAAGGGGAATGAGAAACATTTTGATAGTGTAGGCCACATAAGTAATTGTAATTACCCACACAAGATCCTCACTGTGAAATTTCCTTAGAAGGAGAAATCTGTGGCTCATATAAAATTCCATATATTACAATGATTACAGCATTGGACCTAATTTTTTAAATACTGTTTTATGGTTAATCCTAATATTTAAAATGAATGTGTATATTATATATCAATTATAAATAAAATTAATTTTTAAGAAATGACTATCAACTGACAAAATACAGTTGGGAAATTCAACATTTGTAATTTACCTTAATTCAATACATGTTCCTCAAGAAGTCACTGTAGATAGAACTTAATACCTCAGCTGTAGCCCTGCACTGTCCTGCTAACCCCCTTCCTGTTTCCTCCTGCACCTTAAGAATGAGCAACCCGTTCAAAAGCCTGCTCCAATCACCACTGCCCTGTTACTTTTATTCTAGCCAATCATCACATCTCTGACAAATGCCTTCTTCTCTTCCTGTGCTCTTTTATAACCTAAGCACCCTTTCATTATCTTACCTCAAAACCTCTATTCACGGTTTTCTTTTTGCAACTTCCCTCTAGTGTCTCTCTCTCTCTCTCTCTCTCTCTCTCTCTCCACACACACACACACACACACACACAGAGAGAGAGAGAGAGAGAGAGAGAGAACCACTCTCAATAATCCATTAATAGCTTATCTATAACCCCAAAGTTGAAAGTGATCCCCTATTCTGCCATTCTGGCCAGACTTTTCTGGGCCTGTGGAGTGCAGCAGGCCTGAAGGAGAGCTAGAGGGGCTCCAGGGCACACACACGGAAGGAAAGCCTGGTGGGAGAGGGCGTTACTTCATTCCGTATGGGCAAGCATTAAAGAAGCCACCAAACAGGCATGAGCCAGAACAGCTTTCCTGTGCCGAACTCATACCAGCAACTCTCGGGGAGACTGTATTTTAACTGTATCTCTGGGCCTGCCACTTTTTTAAACATTTGCCAATGAATGGTTTCATCTCAGCGCCCCAGAATAGTTCAACTGCTTCAAAGAAATGTTTGGAAGAAGAAATAATTTGCTGCATAGTAATAATTTGCTGAGAATTAAATACTAACAGCCTCAACTGCTAGTTTCTCCTGTACTAAGAGTATTCAAAAAAACAAGTAGAAGTAGATATGGTCTCCACTGTTTTTTAGAGCTGCCCAACTACCTAAAATAGCTGCTTAACTTCTTTGCTCCGCTTTCCTGGGGCATAATTAAATATGCAGGCTGGAGGAAGAAGAGTGGAATCAAATGGCACAGATGCCCACATGACTGCATAGCTGGGTGTGTAGGCTCCTGGACTGCCCCAGCTCACCACCATCCACTCATGTCTAGATACAAAACTGAGGAAAACTATAGCGAAGGTGTGGGTGAGCAAACAGCTGGGACTGCATTGGCCAGGGATGCCTGTGCAGAGGCGGCAGAGTTCACATGCTTTGGATTTTTATACAAGCGACTAGTTTGAATCACCAACTAGAGGGCACATAATCTTTGACATTTCAAAGTTTCGAGATGTATGATGTAAGAAAACCATTTACTTCTAATATTTTTCTTATACTTATTTGACATAATTACTTCTTCCTATACACATTTATTTTTAAACTAAATTAGAAATGTACAATTATTATAAGATATCTCAAATCTAAAATTCTTTTTTAATTCTGTCAGAAGAAATGATTCTTTCAAGAACACTCCCTAAATTCCTGGTTCTTTATTAAAAACAGTATTTTGAATTCTGCCTAAGATTTCCTTTAGAGGTCACATGAAAGGCCAAATTACATTTTAATGACTATAGAGTAGAAACTATGCTTCTATAACAACTGGCTTTCTGGCAGTATCTGTCCTAACATATTTTTAGCATATGCAACTGTTTACACTGTTTTTTTTTTCTAGTAACAATGAAACTTCATCAGACCAAATTGACTGTCAATTTAAGAAATGTTTAAATATTATCAATAAAACCGATTTTAATGACTTCCCTGGACTGTTGTCGAGACTTTTCTAACAGGTCCTTACCTTTGATATCCTTTAAAACTTACAGAAAAGTCTCGGAATTCAAGTGACTGAAAAGGTAAAAGGATGTCGACGGCTCAGTGGGAAAGCATATGCAGCCCTGATTGTCACTGGCAATCACCTGAAACCTCAAGAGGAAGTGGCTGCTGGATGAAGCACACACTGAGGGCTAGAAGGCCAAAAGACAACAAGAACCTGAGCATTTGATCAGACTGTGGAGCTGCTAAATAAAGCCAACTCTGAAGCCCACCCCTCTGGAGTTCTAGCTTCTGAGCCACTTTTCATGTCACTTTAAGTTCTTTGGTACTTTTTTTGTTTTGATATAATTTTAAACTTATAGAAAATCCTCAAAAATATACAGAAATTATCAGGAATTCCTGTATATCCTTTGACCAGATTTATCAGTAGTAACATTTTACCCCATTTTCTTTATTCACATTTTCTCTCACAAACCGCTGGAGAGTAAGTTACAAACGTTATGCCTCTCTCTTCTCCAAATACCTAAAAATAAGGGCATGTCTTAGATGACCACGATATAATTTTAAAAATCAGGAAATTTAACATCTAATCCACAGTCTATATTCAAATTTCAACTGTCCCCCAAACATGCTCTTTGTACTATCCTTCCTAACCCAGGCTCATCCACTGTATTTGTTGTCTTATCTCTTTAGTCTTTTTTTTTTTTTTTTTTGAGACAGAGTCTCATTCTGTCAGCTAGGCTGGAGTGCAGTGGCACAACCATAGCTCACTGTAACCTTGAATTCCCAGGCTCAAGTGATTCTCCCACCTCCTGAATAGCTAGGACTACAGGTACGCCCCACTACAGCTGGCTAATTTTTATAGAGATGCCGTCTCGCTATGTTGCCTAGGCTGGTCTCAAACTCCTATCCTCAAGTGATCCTCCCACCTCGACCTCCCAAAGTGCTGCGATTACAGGTGTGAGCCACCACGTCCCTCTTTAGTCTCCTTTAATCCAGAACAGTTGTTCAGCCTTTGTCTTTCATTACAATGACACTGGAAGAACACAGGCCAGGTACATGGCCCCTCAGGTATTTGGTTTGTCTCATGTTTCTGCAGGTTATGCACACTTGGCAGAGATACCTGGCAGAGATACATGCCCCTTTCGGTGAGTCAGGAGGCACATGATATGGTTTGTCCTAATACGGGTGATGTCAACTTTTATCACCGTGGCAGACAGACTCTAAGATTCCCCTGTCATCGCCACCTCCTGGTGTTCATGCCCTGTGTGACTCCTCCCTTTGCGTCTAGGTGGACCTGTGAAGTGCTTCTAACCCACAGAATACAGCAAACGTGATGCGATGTTCACTATTACAAATACATGATTGTATTACATTAGACAGCTTCCATCTTGCTGGCACCTCCTCTCCTTTGCTGGCTGTGAGGGAGCAAGTGGCCATGTTGGGAACCCACATGGCAAAGGAACTGCAGATAGATAGTCTCATGTGCTGAGGGCATTCTCCAGCCAATGGCCAGCAAAAAAAATGAAGCCATCAGTCGCACCATCACAAGGAGCTGAATGTGGCCACAAGCGTATGAGCAGGAAGTGAATCCTTCCCAGACTAAGCCTCCAGATGACGCAGCCCTGGCTGACACTTGAATTAGCATCTTAGGAGACCCTGAACAGAGGACCCAGCCAAGCCAGGTCAGACTCTTGACTAACAGAAACTGTGAGATAATAAATGTATGGCTTTTTTAAGCTTCTAAATGTGTGGTAATGTTACACAGCAATACAAAACTAGTTCAGTCGCTTAAGGTGGTCCTGCTAGATTACTCTGGTATACTATTTTTGCCTTTGAAATCAACAGGTATTTAATGGTGAACTCTTTTGAAACTGTTAATATCATGGTCCTCATGAAACCTTCATTGACTAGTTTTAATAATCATTGATGATTTTTACCTAAGTCAGCTATTACTATGATGACTGAAAAAGAATATTCCATCCATCATCACTCAATCTATGTTTGTGAGTTGGCACTGTAAGGAAGAACTTTCCTTTCTCCCCATTTATTCATGTATTTAAAGAGTCTTGTGGGTTGTATTATTTTATCAGTTTTATTTTATTCAGTAACTAATTTAATCCATTATCATTATTCTTTTGTTTTCTGAGGTAGGGTCTTGCTCTGTCACTCAGGCTGGAGTGCAGTGGTGCCATTTCAGTGATTTGCAGCCTTGACCTCCTGGACTCAAAAGTGTTCCTCCGAACTCAGCCTCCAGAGTACAAGGACCACAGGTGTATGCAACCACACCCAACTAATTTTTGTGTTTTTGTAGAGACGACGCCCAGGCTGGTCTCAAACTCCTGGGCTCAAGCAATCCACGTGCCTCGGACTCCCAAAGAGCTGAGGTTACCGGCGTGAGCTACTGTGCCTTGCCCATTATCATTAGTTATTCTGATGCTCACGTATTTCCAGATTTGATCAGTGGGCAGTTCTGCAAGCTGACTCCTGAGTCCTTGTGACCTCTCCCGTAACTTTTAAAAACTGCTTTATTGGCTGGCACGGTGGCTCATGCCTGTAATCCCAGCACTTTGGGAGGCTGAGGAAGGCAGATCACTTAAGGTTCGAGACCAGTCCAGCCAACAGGGCAAAACCCCATCTCTACTAAAAAATAAATAAAAAAAAAGTCAGGCATGGTGGTGAGCATCTGTAATCCAAGCTACTTGGGAGGCTGAGGCAGGAAAATCACTTGAACCCAGGAGGTGGAGGTTGCAGTGAGCCGAGATGGCACCACTGCACTCCAGCCTGGGCGATAAAGCAAGACTCCATTTAAAACAAACAAACAAACAAACAAAAAACAAAAAACTGGTTTATTGAGGTATAATTTACTTACTCTAAAATTTGCTGATTCAAAATGTACAATTATTTAATGATTTTCAGTGAATTTTTAAAAGTATGCAACCATCACCACCACATAATTTTAGAATTTGAATTTATTACTCCAGAAAGAAAATTCATGCCCATTTGCAGTCACTCCCTTTCTGACCCCCAGCTCCATGAAATCACTCAAGTACTTTCTGTCTCTACAGTTTTGCCTTTTCTGGACATTTCATATAAACGAAACCACATAATGTGGCCTTTGTCTCTGGAGTTTTTCACAATGCCTATTTTCAAGGTTCATCCATGTGGCTATATCAATATTTTGTTCCTTTTTATTGCAGATGGTAGTCCATGGCATGGCTGCACCACCTCCTCATGCTTTGCATGCTTCCTTATACCTGGCACAACAAGATGATTTGGCCTCATCTAGTCCTTCCCCTGCCCCAGCCCTGGAATCAGCTACTTCCCTGGGGAGCCCTGGTTACTGGTAGCCGGGAAGGCTATTTAGAAACAAAGACTTGGGTGACTAGATGTGCTCACTTGGGTGACTGGGGTGCCACTGCTTCCAGGCCCTTTCACAGTGTGTGTGCATGTCTGCACGTGTGCACATATGTTTATATAAATACACAGACACACACACACACATATACACATAAAGGGCTGAGTTACTTTTTTTTTGCTTGTAGTTGAAAGCATCCTAATAGACAGCAACATCAGAGATCAGATAAAAATTCCTTTCTTTCTCTAGGAAGGAAATGGTAGTAAAAAACAGATCAGTTGTAGTTTCATTCTGCTTCAGAACTCTGAAAGGTATACTCAAAAGGTTTCACTTGAGCCTTTTGGCACAAGAAATCTTTTCCAAGCAACGATCCCAAATGCTTGATGTTCACTTTTAATTTTTATTCTATCAATTCATATACTGGCTTAGTGAGTAGCCAGGAAGGAGAGGCTGCGCAGTCGCAGGGTGCCGGAAGTTCACCCATTGAGACTGTCATCCCACACTAAACACAATCCAGAAAAATGTCAGACACGAATTTTTAAGTGTTTTTGACATATAGCCACTTTAAAGAGATCAATAACTCTGTGGCTCAGAAGCAGAACAGAAAAATGCTGCAGTATAATAAAAGGGCTGAAGCCATGGTCTCCCTGTTTCTGTATCCAGAAGCAGCCAGGAGGTAGGAACCCAGATATAGGAGACATGGAATCAGGTCTACTGTGTAAGGCTGGGGCAAACCTTTCCTACTGTGAAACAAGGCTGATGAAAATTGTGAAGGCTGTGCAGATTACAATTTGTAGGAAGCAACACTGCCTGCTCAGGGATTGGATCTGTATCTCTAATATCACTGTAGGATGAATACTCCAATCCACCCATAGGAACGGTCAATGGCCTAGTTACGTATGAAGTCCTTCTATGGATATCAGGTAAAGAACCCATTGATTTGTAGGTAAACATTTTAGTATACAGATGCTGCTTGACTTATGACGGAGTTACATCCCGACAAGCTCACTGAAAATACCATATAGTGAAAATGCATCTAATACACATTACCTACAAAACATCATAGCTTAGCCTAGCCTACTTTAAACCGGTTCAGAACACTGAAGTTAGCTCATGGTTGAGCAAAATCATCTAACACAAAGCCTGTTTTATGATAAAAGTGTTGAACATTTTACATAATTTATTGGATACAACATGGTTGTATGGGTACTCAAAGTTTAGTTTCCACTAAATATGTATCACTTCTGCTCCATCATAAAGTCAAAAAATCTTAACTTGAACCGTCTGTAACTGTGTGTTTCCTTTTCTGGGGAACTGTGATATTTTGAAATATATATTTGGTCTTCATCCCTATTTCCTGGCATAAAACTCCTAGAATCCTTGGAATGTCCGAAGTGATGGGTGCCTTTTTGTATACAATGACTGAGGGCTGGACCACCCCTAGGTAGCTTCAGGATAGGGCTGGTCACTAGAAAGATGAAGGCATGATTAGAGGACTGGGACTTTCAGCCCCAACCCCAACCTCCAAAGAGGGGAGAGAGGCTGACGTCTGAGTTGATCACCAGCAGCCGTTTTTTTTTTGAGACGGAGTCTCGCTCTACGGCCCAGGCTGCAGCGCAGTGGCGCGATCTCGGCTCACTGCAACCTTCGCCTCCTGGGTTCAAGCGATTCTCCTGCCTTAGCCTCCCAAGTAGCTGGGACTTCAGGTGCTCGACACCACGCCTGGCTAACTTTTGTATTTTTACTAGAGACAGGGTTTCACCATATTGGCCAGGCTGGTCTTGAACTCCTGACCTTGTGATCTGCCTGCCTCGGCCTCCCAAAGTGCTGGGATTACAGGCGTGAGCCACCGCGCCTGGCCAATCACCAGTAGTCAATGATGTATGCAGTCATTCCAACATAATGAAGCTTCCCTAAAACCCCAAAGGGACTGGGTTTGGGGAGTTTCCAGACAGCTGAACACGTGGGGGCTCCTGGCAGGTGGTGAGCCTGGTCTCCCTGGTTCTGTATCCAGAAGCAGGCAGGAGGCAGGAACCCCGATACAGGACCCAGATACAGGAGACACCGGAGCTCCACACGCCTTCCCATGTGTCTTTCCCATGCATCTCTTCATCGCCTCACCTGTACCCTTTGTAGTATTATTTAAAATAAAGCAGTAAACCTAAGTGTTCCCCTGAGTTCTGAGAGCCACTCTAGCAAATCAGTCAAATCAGAGTATGGAGTAGGGGACCCCAATTTAGAGCAGATGGGTCAGAAGCCTAGGTGAGAACCTATTACTTGCGATTGGTGCTCAAAGTGGGGGTCAGTCGTGTGAGGCTGAGCCCTCTTACCCTGTGGGGTCTGATGCTCTCTCCAGCAACAGAGCATCAGAATGGAACTGAATTCGAGGACACGCAGCTGG